GTCGCCAGGCCGGGGGCGGGGGAGGGGGGCGCGACGGGGTGGCGTCTGCCTGCCTCTTCGGGAGCCCCGCGCCCCAGGGTCACCCTGGAGCCGGGCGCTGGGCAAGAGCGGGGCAGCGTCGCGGTCACCGGGGGAGCAAAGGGGAGGGCCTGTTGGCGGAACTGCAGCTCAGGGCCCAGGCGTTGGTGGGGTCGTGGGCCAGCCTGGGTTCCGCACTGGAGTGGGGGCTTTGCTGGGATGAAGACATGATCAATGGATGAAGAGATATATGAGAGCACAGCGGTGGCCCCAGGGGGCTCCCAGGCAATGGGAGTGTGCCTGGAGACCACTCCCCCATCCTAGGGGCTTTGTCTTGGCAGGGGTGGGAGAGGGGTGCCAGGAGAGAAGTGAAGACAGCACTAAGTCTGGGTTGGTGCCCCCAAGGGCAACCCACCCAAGGGGAGAGCAGTTGTAAGTCTGGGGGACCGTTTGAAGGTGGGGGTGAACAAAGGGGGCTGAGGGGCTGGGGGACTGGGTTTGTGGTTTTGGTTAGGAAAATATCTATCTTCCTCAAATAGGAGTTGTCTCTGAGAATAGATATTTGCCTTTGGGAAGTGCCTGGTCGTTCAAAGTGTCTGTGCGCCCATGTTTAAGGCAACAAGATACCATCACTCTCTCCCTCCTGAAGGACTGGAGGGAGGCAGAGGCTCATCTCAGAAGAGACTGGACTGTTGGATGCACCAACCGGATTAGGGGTGGGCATAAGACAGCCCCAGCTCCCCAAAGCCTGTTGGAGTAAGATGCCCCTTGATGGGGAGGCTGACACTAAGGTCCCACAAGAAGGGACTTTCTGGGGTCATAGCAATCGGAGGGTGAACAGTCTTTGGGAGGTGGTGAGCTCCCCATCATGAGTGTGTGAGCAGGTGGTCGGCTGGAGCCTATGGGTCCCTCTGGCTCTCAGCGTCTGGATTCTCATTGACCCACCATCTCTATGGCTCTGACTGAGGTGGACGCTTCCTGCTCCCTTGGAAACACCGGCACTGCCAAAGCTTTGGGGCAGGGAGAAGTCCCATGGGCTGCCAGGCCAGGTGAGGGGTTGGGACTTTGCCGGTGGACGGTTGTCCCTTGCAGTGGAGACGACTTATGCAGGACAGGGACAGCTGCCAAATCCGGCTTCTCACCTGAGCTCTCCTCCTGGTCCCTGCAGGCTGCTTGCAACTATTCCCTGGGCACGTGTCCCTCCTGCCCTGTCCTGTCATTGGCCCCGTGGGGGCGCCTCAGAGGATGGTCTGGCCCCAGCCCCTCATCTTGGGGTGCCCTCAACCAGAGATGGAGACAGCTTGATCGACAGTCAGGTAACTTCTGGTCTGGGTTGCCATGTCCCAGCCAAGTGCCCCTCTGAGCCTCAGTTTCCCCATCTGTGAATGAGGATCACTGTTGTCTCACCTTTCAGGTTGCAGGGAGCGATCAAGATGACGTCCATCTTTGAGGGGCTGCTAGGTACACAGGTGCCCTGAGGCGACAGCCCCACTCCCTCCCATTCCGACGGCCTGCCTGCCTTGGTCTCCTGAGTGACCTGCCTGCACTTGGGCTGGGCCTCCAGCCTCTGGCCAGCTCTCCGGCTCCTCCGGGCGCCTGCCCAGGCCAGGCTGACTCATGCGTAGGAGCGTGGGCACAGGCAGCAGCTCCACTCTGCGGCTGCTATTTATAGCTCCCAGGCCAGGCTCTTGGCCTTGTGAGCCGGGGGGAGGACAGGCCCAAGTCCCCTCTGCGCTCTCCCCAGGGCACGGGGGCCCGAGCCCCCACTGGAGCACCCCAAACTAGGATAGCAGTGACCCTTGCCTGTGGCTGGCTGGAAGAGCCCTGGCCTTTGTGAGCATGGCTGTGTGCTGGGAAGAAGCTGGCTGGGGCTGGAACTCGGCTCCATTGGGCTCTGAAGCCACAACCCAGCCTTCTTGCTATCCCTGGCTGGCTGTCCCTGTCCTGCATAGTCGTCTCCACTGCAAGGGACCACTGTCCACCGGCAAAGTCCCAACTCCTCACCTGGCCTGGCAGTCCGTGGGACTTCTCCCTGTCCCAAAGCTCTGGGACCGGGGGCGGGGGGGCCCATACTGGCCTTGCTTATCCCTATCTGCCCCCCCCCACTCCTGGCAGTGCTGTGGGGGAGTGGGGGAGGTGGCTGGGTTGCATTCTCTGCTGTCTCTCTGTGCTGCCAGGATTAATGCAATTATGCGGGCAAAGCAGAGACCGAGTGTCATGGTCTCTAGCAGATGCAGTTTGGTCCCCAAGGTTTTTTGTTTGTTTTTAAGTTTGGCGTCAACATTCGAAAATAAGAAAATCATTTGTCCAAACCCAGTTTGCCTTGGAAAACGAATGGGCTGGCATCCCCAAGCCTGAATTCTGCCAGTCAGCCTCTGCAGAGCTGGACCCCAGCCCTGAGTGAAAGACGCAGGCTCTTTGCCGAAGCCACCTGCTGGGCCAAATGGAGGCAGCCCGGGGCTCCTCCCAAAATACAGGGTGCTGCTGCTGTTACCATTACCTCTTGAGGAGAGGGGGTCCCAGAGTCTTCGCCACGGGCAGGATAAAGCCCTGTGATGTTTTACAGACTGCCGGGGCGGCTGTGAGCAATCAGGAAAAAAAAAGACCATGACTCGCAGAAAGACTCACGGCCTTTGCACAGGCTGTCTGTCCTCCATCCCCGCCGACCAGAAAAGCTCTTTCCCCATCTTCTTGGGACTCCAGTGTGGCCCCCAGGGATTTCCTCCCTGACCACGTTGCTAAAATCATTTGCATTTTCCTTATCTCTCTCCCTTCACTTTGCTTTTTCTGTCTTCACGGAATTTATTGCTGATCCTGCATTTCACGCTGATATATCATCTGTCTCCCCTCACTAGGCGAGCTGCCATGCATCCTAGGGCAGTGGGCCTCACCCTTGGGGGACTCTGGGATATTTTTCGGGGGATACTTGTGGCCACGGCTGGGGTGCTCCTGGCATCACATGGGCGGGGGCCAGAAATGCGGCTCACCACCCCCCCCACACACACACACAGTGCCCGGGACAGTCTGTGTCAGCAGGGCTGGGAGAGACAGACCCGGAGTCGGGCAATGATCTCAAACGTGTCCCCGGACCAGCAGCATCAGCAGCACCTGGGGGCTGGGTGGCAATGCAGATCCTGCAGCCCCGCCCCCAGCCAGAATGCGGCTCGCAGCCTGCACCCGGCGGGCGGCGAGACAGCCCCAAATGTCTATGGTGCCGGGATGGAGACCCTGTCTGAGCTTGTCAGCCGGAGTGGCTGGGCCTGAACGTGCTCAGGGAGGCCCAGCTGGTCCCTGGACGGAGAGACCTGTCAACTGTGGTGGCTGTTTACTTTGGTCTAAATGCAGTACCTTGGCCAGGCCTCCCATGCACCCGGGAAGCCGGGACTCAGAACCGCCCACCTGTCCAGCCGCTTCTGCCCGGCCGGGCTGGGCACATGCCAGTCGCCCCAGCCCTCCGTCGAGCACTGCAGCCAGCCAGACCAGCTGCTCCTGCCGTGGGAGCCACAGAGGCCTTTGGGGTGGCAGGGGCCCGCAGTGGGTTCTCCCTGCTTCAGCCCGATCCAGCTTTAGCACCCCAGCGGCCCAGAGAAGAGCTCTAGCGTCTTCAGGGAACGATGCCCCCGCCCGCAGGAGGTTCTGGGAAGGTCGGATGGGCCCATCACTGGCTTTGCCCCAAAGGGTGGGCACAGGCTGGGGCAGGTGGGATGCGTGCCTCTTTCCCTGGCAGGTCTGATGCCACCGGGGGCTGGGAGACACCGTCCCCTCCCCTGCCTTCCTCTGGGGGCTGGAAAGACGCAGACAGGCGGGGAAGCGGCGCACCGCCCCCCCCCGCCCGACGCTAATAACTTCTGCACCAGACACAAACAGCAGACAACAAAGCCCCGACACACTGTTATTAAGGTTGATTCAATCCACGAGGCCTCGTAATTTCCCCCTTTGTCTCCAGATCAAGGAGGGGAATGTGGTTGACTCCATCCAGCCTTCGCCTGTGCCCTGAGCCCCCACGCGGAGCAGACCTTGGAGGGCTGAGGCCCGGGCCAGGGACCTCCTGGTGGAGGAAAACCTGGCCTTGGCTGATGAGGGGAGACCCGTCCGAGGTAACTCTCCTCCTGGCAGAGCTCAGAATGGTGCCCCCAGCCGAGGGCACCCCCACCTCCTCCTGCCCACCCGGGACCCCTCCTGCTGGGGGCCGGGAGAAGCCTAGGCTGAGCAGGTGGCTGGGGGTGGCCTTGACCCAGCCACGACCGTACGGACAGAGTTGGTGTTTGGTGTTCCGCGCGGAGGGTTTGGTTTTGTCAGACGGACAGCAGCGTGTGCTCTCTGGGCAGCCTCACATCCAGGCTGTGGCAGCCGTGCCTCCCGCCCGTCAGCAGGCGCCCGCCCCCCTCCTCTCTTTCCAACACGCACATGGGATCTCAGAGCAAACTGGCCTCTGCGTGGAACCCACTGTCACTTCCTGTGAATTAGAGCGGTGACACCCCAGTGTGACCACCACAGACGTCCTCGGACACCGCCTGGTGCACCCTGCGGGACCCCCCCTACTGAGAACCACGGAGTGAGAAGACCCCCAAAAGGCAGGGATCTCCGCAGCAGCAGGCCACACAACATCTCCTTAGGATCACAAAGGTGCACACAGATGGCCTTCCGTGGCTGATGCCCAGTTTTGTGCAGGGGCTGGTCCAGGGCCAACTGGTGATTGATCCAGTCGTATCCACAGGAAAGCTGCTGTCACCAGGTGGCGGTGCCCCGGTGCCCGAGCTTGTGGGGGATGGAGCCCCGGGTAGGCCTCAGAAGACCCTGGTCTAGGCCAGACTCGGCCACCAGAGCCCAGGAAACCTCAGGAGTGATCGCCGCTTCTCCGGGCTTCCGTCGGAGGGCAAAACAGCCACTCCTCCTACCTCGGCGTGGAGATGGTCTAATCCTCACCCGATGCGGGGAAAGCTGACCAAGACCAAGACACTGTCACCCCCACGGCAGCTTCTGGAAGCAGGTCCCAGGGCTGACCCTTGCTCCACTGGGCACAGAAGACAAAAGGGGTGGCCAGAGGTGTCCTCGTCTACAACACAGCCCCCTCAAACCTCTTGGGATCCCAGCGTCCTCAGGGGGCCTGGAAGCAGCTTGCTGGGGCTGGTGGGACCCTAGGGAGAGTAGGTCAGCCGGGAGTGGCCACAACCCAGCAGATGGAGAGAATCTGAGGACGCTGGGGACTCGGGGAGTGGTGACGTCTGACTGAGGGGCCAGCAGAGGGGCCCGTGGGCCTTTCCATGACCCGAGGCTCCTTGCTGGTGTGGTGGTGCCCTTCCTGGGCCCACTGGTCAGGAAGTGTGCTCAGAGTGAGGGGGACATGGCCTTGGAGACATCAGTGGGGGCAGGGGGGTGGTCAGCTGATGGCTGGTAGGAGGGTAGGGACCCTGTGGCATGTGCGCTTTTGGCAGCGACAGGGCGTATGGAGCTGGGGTCCCTGGAGCAGAGATGACCCCGGCCCAGATGAAGGGAGGCTACAGAACCTGGTGGCTCCACAATGACCCGCCCACTCAGGGAAAAGGCCAAGTGGGTGGAAACTTCCAGTTCCTGGGTGGAGTGAAGTGGGGGGCAGGCCGAGGCTGACAGCACAGGACACAATGGAAAGGATGATGTCCCCACACCCTGGGGGCCACTTTCCCAGCACAGGGCAGGGTGAGGCCACGTGGGGTTTGGAGATGGGTCCCCAGGACAAGTCCGACAGAAGTTTCTAGCATCAGGCCTGACCGTCCTGCAGCAACAGGGCAGGGGCAGGCAGAGCAGAGGCTGAGGCTCTCGGACACACATCCCCGATCCCCCTGCCTCTTGTAACAAAACTGAAGGAGGCCGGGGCGGTGGCAAAGGTGGTCACCCTGTGCTGGGAGGGGCTGAGTGGTGGCAGCAGGCCAGCCCCCGGGGCGCCCACGTGGCCCCGGGGCAGAAGGGGCCCATGCTCGGGAGGCCCTGCAGGCCAGGAGTGAGGCAGAGGAAGGGGATCAGGGTGCTGGGAAGGCACGCACCTGGGCCCTCTTGCTGAGGCTGCGAGAGCCGAGCCCAGCCCAGGCCACCGGCCCGCACTCCCCCGGAGCACCTCTGATGGCAAAATCCCCCAGGCAAGGCTTTCGGCCCAGGCTCCTATCCCCGGAGGCCCGCATCGGGGTTGCTGAGACAACGGGCGAGTTGAACAGAAGGTTGCCAGGGAGCCGGTGCCCAGGGTTGGTGCCAGCCCCACACGCACCCTGAGGCAGCTTCGGGCTTCATCTGCATCTGCGGGGGCTGATTCAGGTGTGTGTCCCCTGCCCCACGGCCCCGGGGACTGAGAACCAACGGCCCAGCCGGCCCCTAGCCCTGCCTGCGCATCTCTGCATCTCTCGGGTCCACCGAGTGTATGGCAGCGGGGGGGTGGGGGGGGCACACAGAAGGCAGAGAAGAAGAGGGAAGCGCTGAGGTCCCGGCGCCCCGCCCATCCCCCTCGAGGCCTCAGGTGGCCCGAGTCAGGGCTTCCCTGTGTGACCGCCGGATGGACACTCCATGCGACAGAGCCAGCTGGGAGCAGAGGACAGAAGTCTCAGGCCTCCAGATGGGCTCGGTGGCTCGGAGAAGCCACGGTCCTGTCCTGTCCCCAGGCGGGAGTGTGGGGGTGGAGGGTTCCAGGCCAACCCCCTGCGGCTGCCCGGCCCCGCCTCCTGCGTGAGTCATCAGATCCCAATGCCAGAGGATGACATGGCCACACAGCTTTGGTAAACAATTTTAAGAGAAGTATTTTTAAAAGTAGTCGCTGTGCCCCAGGCTCAGGGTGTTGGATCTGGGGCGCGGCCCCTCTGTGCACAGGTGGCAGCCCGGGGCCTGAGCTGCCCCGCCTGGGAGCGGGGGGACCACCTGTATCCGGTGGGCGGGCGATGGGCAGGTTCACCACTTGAGGAAGACCATGCCGGCCAGGACGGCATAACCCAGCACCAGAAAGAGGACTTTGAGCAGACGGTCGCTCTTCTCCTCCAGCTCCTTCGCTAAGATCTCGAAGAAGGTGACAAAGAGGAACGTGCCGCCTGCCAGGCCCTGCAGCAGCACCGAGGCCACGCTGCTGGGCACCCCCTGGGCACTCTCGATGCCCAGGCCGATGCTGATGCCCAGGGGGATCATGGCACTGACAGTGACGGCCAGCTTGGCCGCGTCCCTCAGGGCCATGGCGCTCCTGGCCATGCTGATGCCCAGGGCCACGGCCACCAGCGTCTCGTGGATGGCCACCCCCACGAACAGGCTCACTACCTTCTCTCCGTCCTCCTGCAGGCCCAGGGCCAGGCCCTCGAAGATGGAGTGCGCCGACAGGGCAAATACCAGGCTGAGGAGCCGCAGCGGGCTGGAGTGCGACAGCTCTTGGACGCTCAGCCCGTGTGCGTGGGGGTGGGGCTCCGCATAGAGCGTGTGGCCCCGTGCACCCCCCATGAAGGGGCTCTCATACTCCGAGTCACTGCCGGCGTCCGAGCCAGCGTTGAAGGTCTCCAGGTCGATGAACGATGGCTTCTCCTTGCGGAAGGTCAAGATGAGCTGCTCCAGGAAGACAGTCATGAAGAAGCCCAGCATCATGATGGTCTCGGCCAGTGGGTAGTCGGTGCTGATGTGCCCGAGACTCAGAACTTTCTGGAGCTGGAGCAGAAGATGTGCAAGAGAGGAGAAGGAGGGAGAGGGGTTCAGAGCGGGCGGCCTGGACTCCTGCCACCAACACAACAGGGTTTGGGGGAGATATCACTGTTCAATTAGCAAAGCACATTATATCCACTAAATCAGCCAAATATTAATTATGCTGTAGTGGGCTGAACTGTGGTCCCTAAAGATATGTCCACTTGGAACCTCAGAATGTGACCTTATTCGGAAGAAAGGTCTTTGCAGATATAATGAACGTGTGATGGGCTGAATTGTGTCCCCCACCAAAAATTCATATATTCAAGTCTCTGAACATCCAGAATTTCAAAACTAACCCTCCTTAGAGTAAGGGTCTTCAGAGAGGTGATTCAGTTAAAATGAGGCTGTTAGGGTGGGCCCTGCCCCACCAGGACTGGAGTCCTTACAGGAACCACCATGTGAAGAGGTGGCAAGGAGAGAGGCCTCAGAGGGACCCAGGCCTGCCAGCCCCTTTCTCCTGGACCCCTGGCCTCCACAAGGACAGACAGCAAACGTCTGAGGTGTTTTGCTATTTCCCCAGCCCTGGGGAAATCCTACATAAGATAAGGATCTGGATACGAAACAGATCATCCTGACTTAGGGTGGGATCTTAATCCAGTAACGGTGTCCTTAGGAGACACAAAAGGAGGGGACACAGAGAGACACACAGGGAGACGGGCAGGTGACCACGGAGGCAGAGACCGTGGTGATGTACCTACAAGTCAAGGAACACCAAGGACTCTCCAGAAGCAGGGAAATGGCACGGGACAGACTCTCCCTCACTGTGCCATGGACCAGCCTCTGCCGCCCTGAAGGCCTGTGTGGGGTCTGCTTCCATAGGACGCCGGGTGGGGCTGTTTCCAAAGGTCTTCCTGGGTGAATATGCTGGTAATGCGTGAGACTCTGCACATCCACACCCCCCACCCGCCGCCAAGGGGATCCTGCCAGCCAGCGCCACCCAGTAGCGCTTTCTGGTGACGGAAATGCTTTCTATCTGTCTGATACGGAAGCCACGGGCCACACGTGGCCCATGAGGACCTTAAACACGGCCGGCGTGGCCAAGGACTGGCATGTTGACTCGTGTTTCATTTACTTCACTGAAATTCGACTAGACAGGCAAGGCGAGGGGCTGCCGCTCGGGACAGCCCAGGGCCGGATGCTGCCCGGCAAGGTGGGGGGTGGGCTCCTCAGAGCTGGGCTCGGTTTGCCCGTACTCCTGAGGTGGTGTGCACACACCAAGCTTGTCCAGCCTGGGGGCCGCAGAACGTGCCGTCAGCTGTCTGGACCGCTCCTCCTCCTGAGTGACTCACGGCTGGTCGATGCTCACGCTTTGGGTCTTGGGGTGCATGTAATTCCCAAGTGCTCTACCTGAGCCAGGCGCCCCAACACTATGCTCACAGCACCCCTTCATGACAGCCCGGGAGCGCGCGCGCACACACACACACACACAAGCGCGCGCCGCGGCTACCCCGCCCCTCCAGGGCACACTGAAGACATTTTGGTCGTCATGACTTGTTGGGGGGGTAGTGCTGACACTGGGGCAGCGTCATTCTCAGTGGGGGGCCGTCCTGGGCACCAGAGGGAGGCGGGGGGGTGTTCAACAGCATCCCCAGCCCCACCCACCCAATGCCAGGAGCATCTCCCAGCCTGACGACCACAGGCGTCTCCAGACATCATCCGGTGTCCCTGGGGGCAGGACTGGCCCAGGTGAGACCTCCTGACCCAGTCACCTGCCCTCACTCAGTGTCCCCTGGGCACAGAGTCGACCTGCATGGGAACCCCTGCTGCGGAAGGCTGTGTTTCGCAGATGGGCCATTTCATTCATTTGCTAAGCATCTCCAGGAGGCCTGCATGTCCTCCGCCCCCGCCCCCGGGGAACACCAGCCCTTCCCCGAAAGAAACACTAACCAACTCAGATCAGATCATCAGACACACAAAGGCCACAGCTTTCGGGGCTGCTATCTGTGGGGACACCAAGCCAGCAGCTGCTAGCTGAGCCTGGCAGGGGGCCGGGGGAGGGACCTGACCCGCCAAGGCTCCCGTGTGGGCAGGGGTACAGCCCGGAGCGGTTTGGGGAGGACCCTGAGAGGGCCACAGGCACTGAAGGGCGACGGGGAGGAGCAAGGCCATCAAAGCAGCCCCGGCCTGAGATAGGAGTGTGATGAGGGGTGACGGCATGAGAATGTGGCAAATGGGGGGGCAGGGCTGGAAGCGGCTCTGGGGGTGCAGACGGCCTGAGAGAGGACTCTGAGGTTTTACCCCCGGGATGCCGTGTGAGCTCCCACGCTGTGTTATGAAGGAACACAAGGTGGGCAGCAGGGAACAAGAGACGCGTGTCAGAAATCCAGGCACTTCCAGATGAAGCAAGTGGCTATTCTGGGGGGGGCCACATGGCAGGGACTGAGGGCAGCCCTCAGCCACGAGAAGCAAGGCCCTCAGTCTGACAACCGGGAAGGAACTGAACTTGCCTCACCACCACATGAGCTTAGAAATCGACCTGTCCCCGTCAAACCCCGAGATGAGACCACAGCCCAGGAGACCTGGAATGCTGCCTGATGAGAGCCTGGAGCAGAGGGCCCAGCTAAGTGGTGTGCAGACCCCTGACCCACAGAAACCGCGACGTGACAAACACGTGCTGTGCTGAGCTGCTAAGCTGTCATCACTTGTTAAGCAGCAGTAGCTGCTTGATACGGGTGCTGAGGAGAGGCCCACGCCGCCCGCTACAGGGCAAAGCATAGCTACCCCGCTGGGCGGTCTGCTCAGCGAACAACGGACCGGCTCACCAGCTGGCAAGCCCAGGTCTAGTTCAAGCCCCTTGTCTACCAGGTAAGGCCCAGAGAAGAGAAGCAACCAACTCACGGTCACACAGCAACCTCACTTCCTGTCACTCCTGTAGTGTCCCGGCTACCACCAAGCTTGGTGGCATCACTGAAAACACACCAGAGACCCGGGGCCACAAGGTGCCACGGGCTGCGGTCACCACCAGGGAGCCCTTACCTTCTCCCTCACAGCCGGCAGGAGAGCGTTGAAGCACGTGGCCAGAAAGACCCCACCTCCAAAGGTGTTGCAGAGTGAGAGGATCTTTTTGGAGCGATGGGCCTTCTCAAAATCTGTCTCGATGATCTTCACAGGGAGCAGGGAACCAAGCAGCATGAAGAAGAACACGCCCACCATACAAAGGATTTTGGCCACCAGCAGCTTCATCATGGTGGCGGCCCGGGCTGCTGTGGTCGCTGCAGGGCCAAACCATGTGTGGGCGCACACTCCTGTCCCACGGCGTGCTACCGGGCCCAACCACGAAGCCGGGGGCTCATGCCTCCGTCCAGCCACTGTGAACTCCAGGGGCAACCCCGTCAGCTGTTGGAGGATTGAGCAGCTTTAGTGACCAAGCCCATCACCCCCCGTACTTCGCTCCATTCCGGGCCTGGCCCACATCACTGTCTCCTGCAGAAAATTCGCCACGGCCGTGCTGTCCAATACGGCGGTCACGAGCCACCATGTGCGTCTGTTTAAATTAATTACAATTCCATAAAAGGCAAAGTTCAGCTCCTCGGTCACACTAACCACAATGTCAAGTGCTCGGCAGTAGTGACCGCACTGGACGGCACGGACAGAGCCTTTCCACGGTTGCAGGACGTTCTACTGGGTGGTGCTGCTCCACTGGCTTCCCCCTGCCCTTCCATAAAACCCAGCACCACACCCTGTAGAGAAGGCTCCGCACCATCGGCCTCTGCTTCGCCTCACCCCACACGGGCCTCTGTGGTCCTTGAGTATGCCCAGCCCGTGCCTGCCTCAGGGCCTTTGCACCGGTTGCTTTCTCGGCCTGGAATACGTCTTTCCCCCAACCTCCCGATGAGGTCTTGTCTTTTGCGGTCACCGCCTTTAGGATCCCTTGCAAGACCTCTGCCCTATACTGCATGCCTCGTACCCACCAGGAGCCTGGTGCAGAACAGAGGCTCAGTAACCACTGCAAACCAACAGGTGAGCTAAAGCGTGTGGACCTCAGTGAGCCCAAGTGGAGCCGATTTCACCCTGGAAACCCCACCGTTAGTAGGAGGGCCCTTGGCTGCTCCTGCCCTGTGTTTCCGCCCCTACCCTCCCGGTCCCCACTGCCCACGCCCCACTTGAGTGAGGTCCTCAGGTCTCCGGGCAGATGCCACCAGCTGCAGAGGCCTCTCCCGCCCCCTTCCCGGCATTGAGTTCTGGCATCATTTGTGCGGGAAACTGCATAACCTGGAGTCATTGACTGAGCTCACGCGCTCGAGGCTGCGAGCTCCGCGGGGACTGGGAGTCTGTCTTGCTGAGGCTGGATCCCCCCGCACCACCCGCCGCACGGCCAGGTACGCAGGAGGGACCCAGGAAACACCTGCCGGTGTCCCGATGCCCAGGCTGTGCAGTGGCGGCAGGGGGTGGCCTGCACGCTCTCAACACCGGGGCTGATGGGCTGGGACGAGGAGGCAGGGGCTCGTTCATTCATTCCCCCATCGGGCACTTATTGAGCGCCTTCTGTGTGCACCGCGCTGCACCGGGCGCCCCGAGGAGGGCGAGGCCGAGCGGGCCCCACCCGAGAGGGAGCACTCGCGCTCCGCCTGGGGAGTCGGAAGCAAATCAGCACACATCTCGCCGCCAACGGGGGAACCAGCGGCGGGCGCCGCAGCCCGGCCTCGGCTAACGGGCGGCCCAGCCGCCGTTGCCGCGAACCGCCCCGCCCCGCTC